AAACTTATCAAATTATTGAAAGACCTAACTCCAGTCTCAACTAAATCAAAGCACTTCAGTTTCAAACGCTGTCAACCCTGAGGTGTCAGAATCCCTTGACATGACATTAGCTTGCTCTTCAAGCACTGAGAAAAATGAGAAACACATCGAATTCAAAGCCTTCAATGCATGAACGGTAGAAATGATCACTTGCATTTCTGATCACTCAAACTAAGCTGTATCTTTCCCACCTGTCTGGTCAACAAGACCATATCTCTATGCAATGTGTTTATTATGGCTGTTCAGAGCAAGCAACCTCTAGCTGGTTCAGTCCTGCCACATGATCTCTTCGCTCAACATCAACAAATACACAACATGAATGCATTCCAGTTACCTCTTCAGTCCGTTCTCTTACAGATGCTCGTTGAACTTTGAGAAGGCTAGAGGATGATGTTTTCTGGCAAATACTGCCAGATGGAGCGATTAGTTATGCATTCAGTCAAATGCAAATATTTCTACAAGCCCAGCGCCTACAACCGAGCTTGCATTTGAGAGGGAAGTCGAGAAAAGCGGAGCTCATCTTACTTAGACAGAATAATTCCGTTAATGTAGTGCCGTGGTGTCCGTTAAACCTTCCAGTTGAAGGCTAGCTAAGCTAACGAGGTTAGCGGGCTAAATTCAGGAGCTAGTATTAAATCCAGGACGCAGTTTTTCCCTCGTTGGATTCTGGATGTTTGTTGTTGCAAATGCACTTGGTTAACGATAAGCTACTTCTTTATTCCGTCGTGAAGCTGCAGTGCTGCTGTCATCCAAATCAAGTGGTCATTTGTATGTTTAATTCTCGCGTTCATCTCTCCCCACCGCCATTTTCATCCTCGAGCTACACAAACAAACAGGAGGATCGCTCACGTCACGCAGAAGTTACGCGACTGCGATGATCTCTATGGCATAGTTCGAGGCGGTTGCATAGCGACGCATGATTTGGAGATCTGATTGGCTGGGCAGGAGGTCTGTGTGATTCTGTCATTGAGGAATCGCTGGGTTGTGTAACTTGCGTAGTGCATGAACGTACAATGACGGGAGGCCCATCATGCTCCAAGTTTTCGTTGAATTTGCCGTGAACTTCACCTGATTGTTGTGTTTTTCCTCTTGTTTGCTTTTCCGATGTATACAAACTATATCTGAAACTATTATGATTATGTTTGACAACGCTGGGTTTATTGGGTGGCAGACCTGTTTTGATTTTGGCTTCCCACGTGGTCAATTTCAGTGAGTTCCACAGTAGGAAGGGGAATTAAAGTCACCATTAAATCAAAATTGACAGTAAAATACTGCAGTATTTTTAATGAAATGCTGCAATATTTATTATGATTTATCCTTGCACATGGTTTTTAATTCATGTAGCCATGCAACCCTTACCCTTGTAATCTATATTCAAAATAACTTTCCCTCTCCCTTAAAGGGTTAGTTTACCCCAAAATTAAAGTGTTGTAATCATTTACTCACTCACAAATTCTTTCATTTCTTTTATTTAAAGAATGTCAGTAACCAAACAGTTGACGGCACCCATTGACTTCCATAGAATTTATTCCTAAATGGAAGTCAATTGCTACCATCAACTGTTTGATTTCCTACAATCCAACAAAAAAAGAAACTCATACAGGTTTAGACCAATTTGAGGGTGAGTAAATTATAATAACATTTTCATTTTGGGGGGAACTATTCCTTTAAAACATTATATCTTCTCGGGTGATGTGTTTACTGGTGTGATGGCGGGACAACCTGTCACTTACTAGAGATCACAGCAATAACAATCCAACCATCCAATCAATTCCAGATGGACAAAATCAAGTCTTTTTCTTTTCATTGCCCAAAGAGAAGGAAATGAATAGTTGAAATAAAGTCATTATTTATGTTTGTTTTTGCGCACAAAAAGTATTCTCGTCGATTGATAAAGTTAAAGGAGTACTTCACTTTAAAAAAAACTTTTGCTGATAATTTACTAACCCCCATGTCATCCAAGATCAGGGGCGTGGTAGTGGGGGGAAAAGTGGACCTGACTACCCAGGGCCCCGTCTAGGGAGAGGGCCCTTTGAAATCCCACCAATTTTTAAAAAAAAAATTTTTAAACCTAATTAGAATTAATTGGGCCCTCCAATTGATATCATTAATAATAATTAAAAAAAATATATTGACCAAAATGAACTCAGTGCCAGACACTCTGGACCCCCTTCCAAATGGTTTAGTCCGCAACGCGTCGACCGCCCATAGACGCAGCGGGCGGCAAACAAGTAATAACGCAGTGAGTCTAGAGCCTGTAACGGGAGCCTGATCTGATCATGCTGTGCAAAAAGCCCAAATCGGGCTTTAAAAAAAAGAAAGAGAGGAAAGAAAAAGATGGGAAGCAGAATGCGGGGAAGCAGCTGATGACTGCTTTCTTCCCAAAAGGTGAACTGAGTTTGCTATATGCACCTAACGTTACATCCAATTAAAGTTAACGTAACTTAGTCAACTCCAGACAGCTGCTGCTAATGCAGGGTTCCAGACTGCGACCAAATTGGTCTCATATGCGACCATTTTTTTGAGAATTTGATTGTGCGAGTTAAAATTGTATGTGATGTGGTCGCGTCGCGTATATACGAGTGGACGCTCGCGCAAAAGAACACCGACCATTGTATCAGCTGCTGCAGACTGCAGTCCGTAACTTATGTTCAAAACGAACGAGTAGGCTACATCATGAATCCATTTTCCAAACCGTGTTTTTGACTTATCCTGAATCACTACGCCTGTTATAAGTGTTTATATTCGGACTATTTTTTTGACTCGGATGCGAAGTTGCCCAGTGACTGCGTGACTCGCCATAGACATTATGGAGAGAAGTAGCTCCGGCAACAGTGTTCTTCCGCAAGACACATAGACGTCACGCGTGCATTGCACACTGATGGTGGAACACGCCAATTACGAATTCATTAATAAAAATATAAAATTAAAATGTCTCAGGAAACAAATTATATGCAGGAGGTAAGGAGTGTGAGATTTCTGATTTTTGAACTAACTTATAAAATTTGATAACGAAAAATCTGTTTTAGCTTGTTGTAATACTCTAATCTTTTAAAATGTAATGTACATTTGAATGTTTAATGATTTTTAAAAGATAGAAATATGATGCTAATAGAAAAATGACAGACACAGAAGATTATGATTCAAATGTAAATAGATAGATTGAATGTAATTCAAATGTAAAATTCTTAAAATTACAGATTAAAATTACTGTCCAAAATCCATGCAAATCCTGAAATTTGGCAATGATAATTAATATATTACAGGTATTTATGGTAAGCCTTTGCTGGCTTTGGTCCATTAAAACCACTATTCATCGGCATGCATTGATTAATCCCATGGCATGTAGCAAAAAAAATTAAAAATAACCGCGACGAAATCAAATGCTGATGCGACCAACTGAGAAAGTTGGTAGCATCAGTTTAACCTGGTTTCTGAGGGTACAGTTGTCTCTCGTGTTCTTGTGTTCTCCTATTTAAAAATAAATGTTTTTCATTTAAAACTTGCATCAGTATCATGGATCAAAATGTTAGTACACAAAACCGATGTAGCCTAAGGTTTAAAGGTATTTGAGCACATAGTAGGCCAAATGCATCAATTCAGGTGGTGAATGAAAGAACCAGTCATTACTATAATCTGATTTTATTATTTAAACACTGTTTATATTTGTTTATATTCAAATAATTAAAAAAATACATTTCATTCAAAATTGAATTTTCACTTTGCTAACCCGCATCGTAAAATGCCATGTGTAGGGGGCCCATTGACATTGAGAGTGTACAGGGCCCAGAATTTGGTGCTACGCCCCTGTCCAAGATATCCATGTCATTCTTTCTTCAGTCGAAAAGAAATTAAGGTTTTTGATGAAAACATTCCAGGATTTTTCTCCATATAATGGACTTCAATGGGAACCAAACGGTTCAAGGTCCAAAAGACAGTTTCAGTGCAAACTGTTCAAAGGGCTTTAAACGACACCAGATGATGAATAAGGGTCTTATCAATATCAAGTGAAACGATTGCTCATTAAAAAAAAAAAAAAGTTTGAGTTTTATAAGCTCAAATGGTCGCCTTGCTCTGTTTTGAGAATTGAGAAGAGAATTGAGCCGTCACTTGGACTATTTTAACAATGTCTTTAATAACTTTTCGAGGCTGGCAAATTTCAGTCCCTCAAGAAGCCTGTGATCCAGCTTTCAGATTGATCCAGCTTTCAGATTTCATAAAAAAATATCTTAATCACAGGGTTGGAACAACATGATGAGGGTGAGTAAATACTGACAGAATTTTCATTTTTGGGTGAACTAACACTTTAAAAATGCATGCGTTGTAAAAAATGCATTTTTGTTTTTAGCAATGATTTTATTCCACATAAATCCCCAAAATAAGTAACAAATCATTTAGCAAATCTGCACGGACTCTGTAGGATATAATTAAATTAATTGACTAAAGAATGCAGAGAAGATCATTAGATTACTGTAATAGATTTTAAAAATAGCCACAAATAGATGCTGAAAGGTATGAATGTAATATTCTTAAATAAATGTTTGATTAACAGACTGCAGAAGGTTTGCTGAAGCATTTGAAGCATCTGAAGATTAGCCTATTGCTGGCGAATTTATTATTATTTGCTTATTGTTATTATTATTAAATAACTAAAACAGGCACCAAGTCCCTCCAAGCAGATTTAAAAAAAGACGCCAAATACAGATTCATTTTCGTTTCTCAAACCATGTACCTTTTACTTTTTATAGCTAAAGTAACTTAATTAGCCTAAAAGTTAACTTAATTTTTTTTAGTATGACGTTATTGTAAATTAATGTTTTTGTTAAAATTCACAACGTGTGCAAATGTTAATGTTATATCGGTGGAGTAATCACATGGTGGTGAAGTGGTGAACGTGAGTGTGAGAAACAGATCCTCCTAGTGAGTGAAATGTGTAATAGTCACTCCAAAGCGAAAGGCGGCAGTATTACAAAGAATACTGGTGTAAACAATACGTCATCTGCGTGCGACGGGGTCACAGCAAAAGCGATGGCAGAACCTGGGTGCGTATTTAAGTTGACAGAATAATCTTAAACAATCTGTGATGAACTTTTAAAATATCCTTTCGTAATTTAGCTTTTTAGTATCCATATAATGTCACTATGTTTGTGGTACAAATATTTTTTTACGGGTAACGCGATATAAACCGAAGAATATTGGGTTAAGTTGAACATCATGTTTTCACATGGAGTCTCTGAGCTGATAGCAGCTTATCAGCAGGTCGCTGATTTAGTTATTATGTTCATACATGACTATTCTGTTGTGTTTAGGACTGATTGTCCGTACTCTAATGTGTAGATACTTATTTTGGATGGTTTTTTTTTTCTGGGAATTGGTGTTCCTGGCGGCACACCAACACTGCGCGTATTTGTCTCCCTTATTATCAAACACACCCGATTCAACTCAACAGCTCATAATCAGATGGGTTAATGAGCTGATGAGTTGAATCAGGTGTGTTTGATTATGGAGACAAAAAATACCCGCAGTGTTGGTGTGCCGCCAGGAACGGTGTTGGGAAAAGTATCAGCATGACGTCAATTTAAAGTTTGGAGAAAATAACTTGCTTTGGCTTTTTCATTTGCACTAGAGCAAATAGTATGCAGTATTAGATTCATTTGTACTGACAGCATTTTCTCTCACCTGAAAACCCATGGAATTGCATTTATTGACCACAGGATGTCATGTTCAGTTGAAGCACTGAAAGCATAAGGTTTTATTTACCGCTTCATGTCTTATCAAGGTGACAGACATAAAGTTAGTGCTGAATTCCCGAGGAGTCGGAACAATAATTTGATTAAAATTATTCATATTTTGTCTTGTTCAGAGCTGAGAGAGTAATCAAGCTTGTTCCTGAGAATCTTCTCAAGAAACGCAAGGCGTACCAGGCAATCAAAGCCACTCAAGCTAAACTTGCTTTGCAGCAGAAGAGAAAAGTGAGAATTCCCCCCTTGTAACCAGTTTTTGTTTATGGTTCAATAATGGTTCCAGAACAGAACTGAAATTGTCAAATTTTCACAGGACAAAAAAGGAATCCCCTTAAAGTTTAAGCGCTTGGAGGAGTTTTTGAAAAACAGCAAGAGGAAGCATCGAGATGACACACGACTCGCCAGACTCAAACAAAGACCTCCACCGGCCATGCCACCAGCGAAGAACGGTCTGGTGTTCGCTGCCCGCATCAGAGAGTAATTTCTACTTCTGCATCGTTCACATTGACATTAAAAGTATAGTTCACCCAAAAATAAAAATTGAAATCATTGACTCATTCTCATGCCATTTCAAACCTGACTAAAAAAACCCCACAACAAACACATTTTGTGTTCAACAGAAGATAGACACTCATACAGGTTTGAAACATCATGTGGGTGAGTAAATGATGACAGAATGTTTGTTTTGGGGTCCATTATGTTCTGTTCCACATCTGCTTGGTGATTTAATTGTTTAATTTTCCCGTCTGATTTGCTTGTAGGATCAAAGGTGTGAGCCCCAAAGTGATGAAGGTCGTTCAGATGCTGAGGCTGAGAAAGATCTTCAGTGGCACCTTTGTGAAAGTCAACAAGACTTCCATAAAAATGCTTAAGACTGTGGAACCTTATGTTGCCTGGGGGTGAGTAAATATAATGTTTCTTTTTTGCACATAACGACTAAAGGCTAAAGAGTCTGTTTTATTCCCTATTTTGATGTATATCCAAGTGGGACTTGATTGAAAACGTGTATTAACACAAGCTCAAAATATCAAACGTGTTTAATTTCCTCCGATTGGATGGATTCATAGACTGAAGGTAAAAAAAGAGTTTGTTCCCATCATACACTACGCAGTTTACTGTGGAATAGTTAAAACTCAGATTGGCTCTGACTTTCCACAAATAGCATAGACTTTGAAATGATTGAATTTAAAATATATGAAAGTTTAATTTTTATCATTACATTATGGAAATTAATGACTTATCACAATATGCTATTTTTTTTTAGAAGGACCTGTATTTCTTTAATTGATTTTAACTGGTTTGATGTATTGTTTTGATCTCTTTAACAGGTATCCCAACTTGAAATCAGTCCGTGAGCTCATATTAAAAAGAGGTCAGACTAAGATTGCCAAGAGAAAGATTCCTCTGACCGACAATGCATTTATAGAGAAGCATCTCGGTAAGTAATTGATGTGCTATACGTCTCATTCAGTGGGATGCTGAGCAATTCCGGCTACAAAACATAAAACTTTTAAGAAGGGGCTTAAACAAGGAAAAGGAAATGTGTAATCACCATTGGCAAATGATGTTTGTTTGTTGTTGTTTTTTAAGATGGGGCAAACTAAATTGGACTTGACTGCAAAATTCCTTTTACTCACTTGTGAATTTAGTTTTTACTTAAGTTTGAAAGACTCAGTGCTGAATAAATTCTGAAATATTCTGCAATGACATGATTGTCTAATAGTGTTCATATACTTAGTAGCAATTAAAAAAGTAAATACAATGAATAGTCTGAATATGTTTGTTTTCTTTGTTTCTCAAGGACAATATGGAATCATCTGTTTGGAGGACCTCATACATGAGATTTATTCTGCTGGTAAGAACTTCAGGGTGGCAAACAACTTCCTGGTGCCATTCCATTTGTCAGTACCAAGACATGCTGCTAGAGACAAAGTTGGACTGCTGAAAGATGTTGGAGAGCCTGGACCCAGAGCTGAGGATATAAATAGTGTCATCAGGAAACTCAACTGAGCTAATGGACTCTCATGGACTGTTTTGTTGCCGTCATCCAGATTGCACCATCAAAAAGGAGAGAACAGAGCCTGTTTCTCAATTCTGTTAAAACTGAACACGCAGTTTAAATGGACGTTTCCTTTGAATAATTCAGTGTTCAATATTGACACCTGAATAGAAGTAACGTGGGGAAGCATACAGCTGTATTTCAGTTTCTATGTAAACAAACTTTGTTTCTAATTGCAAAACTTATTGTGCATTATTTTTATTAAACAATGCAAAGTTTCAGTCTACATATGCTCCATTCCATTTTTAGGCTTCAGATTCCACAATGAGCTGATGAGGGTCAAAGACATCAAATTAGTAACAATTAACAGAAAACGTTGCAAAAATTGAAAAATTGAATTTCTTTGACATTATTAATAAAAAAAAGATGAGACTTCATGTATTTTTGTATACAAATCCTTTAGTTTTTCAAAAACTTGCTTCCAAGACAAATAACCACATAAATGTTGTGAAAAAATTGTGTATGTGTGTTTAAGTGACTTTGAATGTGGTATATGGTTGTAGATGCCAGATGTGCTGGTCTGAGTATTTTAGAAAATGATGATCTGCTGGAATTTTCACATACATCCATCTCTAGGGTTTACAGAGAATGTCCAGAAAAAGAAGATATCCAGAGAGCAGCAGCTTTGTGGGGTGGAGAATGGCCAGACTGGTTCGAGCTGATGAAAAGGCAACAACACACAACACGTCAAACCTTTCAGCAGAAGACACACTGGGTGACAATCCAGTCAGATAAGAACAGGAAACTGAGGCTACAATTCACACAGGGTTACAAAAATTGGCCAATAAAAGATTGGATAAATGTTGCCTGCTCTGATGAGCCTCAAGTTTCTGTGACATTCAGATGGTGGGGTTAGAATTTGGCCCAAACAACATGAAAGTATGGGTCCATCCTGCCTTGAATTAATGGTTCAGACTGGTAGTGATGTAATGGTGTGGGGAATATTTTCTTGGCACAATTGGTACCAATTGATCATCGTTTAAATGCCACAGCCTACTTGTGTTGTTAGAATTGTTGCTGATCATATCCATCTGCTTATGACCACAGTGTATTCATCTTCTGATGGCTACTTCCAGGCCAGCAGGATAACACACCATGGCATGTCACAAAGCTCAAATCATCTCAAACTATTTTCTTCAACATGATAATGTTGACACTTGTAAATTGTACTCAAATGGCCTCCACAGTCACCAGATCTCAATCCAATCCAAAACGTAACAGACGGGATCTGGTAATATCTGCGTTCTGTGTAGAGAAGCGTTGATGAACGCTGTTACCGGAAATTGCAGTGCAGTAACCATAGTAATAAGTAGAACGCGGAAGTAGTTGTGCAAGTTTCTCGCTTTGGAAAAAAAGCGTCCGATAAATTTTGCAATGGAAAAATGTAAATTTAATTTTATGAAATTAAAATATTAATATTGCAATAGAAATTACAATTAACAGTACATATTTTGGAGGATTTTCAAGCATATACATTCAAACATATTTCACAATGTAACACCCCCATGTAGGAAAAAAAGTATTTACGGTACATGAAAGATCTCGTCATATCTCTTCAAAAAATAAGGTCACATTTTTATTATTAATTATGGTTTTCTGGTCGTGAGTGAGCGTGAGTGAGGTAGTGACATGACGTTTCATCGTGACGTCAGAAGCACATGTGCTACTCAATGGAAAGCAACCTTTGCGTGATGTCAAGGAGAGTGGGGGTGGTCTGAACCGAGACTGGTTTAAACCTTTCTCCATTTATCACTCATCATTCATCGCATGAACTCTGACCAAGGTAAGATAATACATGATAGCTGAGCAGAATGAATAACAAACAAGGTCGCTAAAAACACTCTAAAAACTGCTAGCGGACATTGCGCACTGCAGCGTAGGCAGCTTCGTTTGTTAAAATTGGACATTTCTATTTGTATACGTTGCAGTGTACACTTATTATCACTGTATATAGGGACTGCGCACATTGCGTTTTTACCGTGACGAAATTGTGTCACCCTTTTACATCAGCATGCCATTTCCTTTAGTCAGAGTGGTATTTTCCGATTGCATGTTAAAGGACTGTCATTCACAGCACGTTGTGGCAACCAGAAACACAGCTTTTCTTAGCTTTACGCAAAATCGGGTTAAACCTTTAACTTATGAAATCAAATATGCATACCCGTTCATTCTTAACAGTTCACGCGCGCGATCTATTCCTTCTCGAGCTCGTGGCTCTGTTGCTCGTGTTGGTTGAGAGAAACCATGGTTGAGACATTGACCGCCCGGTAACAGTGAACGATTTTCTTTTTTAACGCCATTATCTTTGATGATGCGTACATCAAATGTCGTTTAGATTACAATATAAAGGGAAAAGTGTCGTATCCCGCCATTGAAATGCATACGGCAAATGTCATGGTCTCACTGACAACACGCGCGCGACATGTCAGTGTTTGCAGAACTGTTTTCATGAAATATTTATAATAGGTTACTTTATCTGTGAGATGATTCAAATATGATTTAAATAACTTATCAAAAATCCAGGTTGTATTTTATTTTTCAATAAAATAAGAAAACTGTTATATGCCTTTTAATATAATTTAAAAAAGTGTCTGGGACATTAGTTTGTCTTTGTCATTATGAATCAATGTGCTAGTAAAGGGCTGTCATTATGGCGAAGTGCTTGGATTTATCAGATGTCATTTGGACTGATCTTGATCTTTAAACCGATAAAGTTTAATAGTATTGGAACCAAATCAGCCACATTGCTGTCGGGTTAGCTGTTGTAAAAAATATGTACAGCCCCAATAAATATTTTGTTGCTGGAGAAATTTAAAGGTATAGTTCATCGGGACTACAATGGAAATAAGCCCTAGGGCTTAATTGTGTTATCCTGACTTTGTTTTGTTTCTTTTAATCCATGGTGCAAAGATGTATCATATTTTAAACAAAAGGGTCAAATAAAATCAATCAATCAATCAGTCAATCAACCCAAAAATGAAAATACAGTCATTAAAGTGTCAGAGTAGCTATATTGTGATTTGTGTTTCTCCACTAACATTACCATGGTGCTACACAAGACAAACACAGAATGCAGGACTACAAAAAATAAATTACATACACACATTATATTAAATGGGCTAAACATAGCAGTTAAATAAGAACTAAAAATGAGCAAAAATAAGAGTTGAACATTATACGCGGACTACGCACAACTATAAAGTGCACATGTGCATACCTGAACAAACTACAATATTTACCGTACTTACCCTGGTGTTGTTCTAATGCCACATGAACTTATGTTTATCGATATAATGGCAATGAATACACAAAAAGATGCAAAAGAATGATCCCACCGGCTACTGCTGTATTGTCCAAGTGTTCTGAGGGAATATGTTAGGATTAGGTGAAAAACAAACCAAAATCTAATTTATTATTTAGTGAAACAAACAACTGTGATTAACTGCGTTTGGTTTGTTCTTTTCACTCATTATTTGTCTTTTCATTGAGGGGGGGGGGCTAAAAATGCAATTTCTTTTAACCAGCTGGCCATTTTAGTGGACATAGTCAGTTCCCACAGCTGTCCAGAAAATGTAGATCCCAGAAAATATAGTTTATTACATTAACTCCACTAATTTTTATAACGTTTATAACATATATTCCACTAATGTTTGGCGATCAGAAACCAATACTCTTTGTCTGATAACTGATAACTGATAAATGTCAAGAGTTTTTGTTCTATCAATAAAATAAAAAAAGCATACATGCTTAGCTATATCGGCACAGCATTGGGTTTCAGGGTTAAGGTCTTTGGGTTTTGAGGAAATGATGACAGAATTTTCCCTTTCACAGCCCATTTCTCTCAAGTTGCTAATCCTGATGGTGGCAAAACAATGACTTTTCAGTTTTCAGGCATTGTTAATCATGTTGGTTGGCCTGCTAGCATGCTGTGAGCTTGGCATTTTAAGTTGCGTGACAGCTTTTTCACTCACTTAATTTCACCAGAACTTATTTCATGTCAGAACTTGTTCTATTAAAATCACTGTCCTGTTTTATTTTCTGATATCTGATGTCAGAGTCCAAAAGTGTCTTGAGTTTGAGGTTTTTTTTAAAGGTAGTTTTTCTTAATTGTAAAGCTGTGTCTATCAGTGATATGTCTGATTATTAGCTGATCATTATTATTCGTTTTTCAATTTTAATTGGTTTAATTAGGTCCTTATTTATGTCATTTTTATTTACTTAAATGATGCATACCTTAAGGTGGCAGTTTGAGAATTCATTTCTGAGATCTGTAATATTAGAACATCAGAAATTAGAAACTGTTATGAAAATCAAAATAAAGATAAAAAATATATAAAATATGAAAAAATATATTGTTATTATTATATAAAAGGTTTCTGAATGACAGCCTCACCATGTAACTAGAGCTACAAATTGAAAGTTGGACTTAAAGCCTGATTTACTCTTTTAATATTAGAATTAGTGGAGTTAATCACACTCAATACTAAAGCCTAAATTTTCGAGGGACACATGCTGAACTAGCACAAATAATGGGACAGTTGGATTGTTAGTTGATTGGATGGTTAGAACAGCTTATGTTTACTATTTGATCATCTTGATCAGGGCTTGCTGTGTTGCACAGTGAGTTCTGATGCTGTTCATGAGTCATTAACTGTGTTTAATAAGCAGGAGCAGAGAGGCTTGATCATAGAGGCTAAAGAAAATCCGACAGACTGCACATTTATCCCACTGTTTGATCATCAAAAGCCTTGTGACCATAGGAAGGATTCAGGCTTGTCTCTTTTTTGCCCTGGATACATATCCATAACAGATTTAGATTTTATTTATTTTTTTACTAAAAAAACAATGGTTTTCCACCATGACAAGAAAGAAAGGTCGACAAATCTTGGCCTGCGTCCTTGCATTTTCTTCACTGTTCTTTAGATAAGACTTTCTTTTCTTTCAAATAAGAAATTAGGAAGATTAAATGGATGTGAAACCTTCCATCCCAGCCCAAACATCTCTTGTGTGGTGTTGTTATCGGAGATATAGAGCTTCTAGGTCAGAGTCTTATAATGCCGTATTGTGAGACTTATCTTTTTGCACACTAGCCAACGCAACAGCTTTTATCACACTAAATGAATCTTGAATTGAGCTTTTGCTTGATAATATACTGTAAATGTCTGACTATCAAATCCAATAAAATGATAAAATAATGTTATCTTTATTATTATTATTTGCTCAGATTACAGAGAACTGATTGTTCAAAGCTCACCTGATGGATGCTGTCAGAGATCCAATTCATTCACTTTGTGTGCGTGAGATTCATTAAAAAAATACTGATTCATCCAGTAATGAAACATGTTAAGTATTAATGAGTGAGTCATTAAATCATTCATTCAAATAGATTTGTTTTGTATTCAAACCTAAATAAATTAAACATTTTTTTTAAAGACTGAGAACCTCGAATAAATAACATGCTATTTTGTTTAGTTTGTCTGTTCAGAATCGTGATCTCTATTTGAAACAAGAAATCGTGATTCTCAATTTATCCAGAATCGTGCAGCTCTACCTAAAAATGAAAAATCCCATATTTGCTGTGGTCCCCTGTCTGCTGATTACTAGAATCACATGGTTTTTCACTGTAGGACATATTGTTCCTCTAGACAGGATTGTATGCAACTAATTTACTGATTTTTGCACTTGTAATCGGTAAATGAGTTAGCAAACTTACACAGTTCCAAGAAATTTTAGTATCATGTTTGACCTTTAACCATTTTATGGTATTATATGTAACTTGCCTGCTACTAAATGTGTGCTGATGAATTTAAAACAGTGGAAACGGTCAACAAAATGAAATATTTCTCCTTTCTGATCATCATTGAGGTTTACTGTTAGGTGTTGTTAAGATTTTAATGTTTTTGAAAGAAGTCTCTTAATCTCACATGTCATCCGCATCATCCTCTCAGCATCACCTATTACAATTTTTTTTTTTCATTCCCCATGATTCATTTCTGACTTGAATTATGGACTGAATACACTAAACCGCATGCTTTTTGCATTCAGCACATGTTTGTGTGAATAAGCCTGAACCTTACACAATGTCAGAATTTGTTAGAATAGACAGGAAGCCGTAGAGGCACGAGAGCTTATTCAATTAAAAAAAAAAAATCTCTATGTCACATGATGACTCATAATGCGCCTCACAAGACCAGTAGGTTGTGTGATTGATAAACTGGTGTTTTAATAAGACAATGAGTCTGGAACTTCATAGAATAGTGATAACAAGATTGCATAGCTTTTAAATGATTTTCTGCACTTGCATACGTTTTGAGTGGATCAGAATCAGATTAATCTTTAGCATAGATAAGGTGTCTTCTGATGTCAAATAATATTGGACTGCTAAAATCAGTCCTAAGGCCACCTACCAGCAGGTCAGAAAACATAATGTAGAGCTTTTATCAAATGGAGGCAAGCCAATAGTGCTTCAGCTTTAAATCTAGTGATATTTCTGTGCAGCAGCAATTCTATTAATTCTACTGATACTGAAAAATAAATTGGCAGCTGTAGTAACAGTGTATTTCTCCAATCAATCAAACGACTGCAAGCTTGCATTGATTTTTGAGAGCAACAAAATAGTGATTTAAAATGTTGTGTGTGTTTTGAGCCATTTTGTGTAATGCATTAGTGTAAATGTTTCTTTTTGCCTACAAAGTATAATTTGAATATTCTGTTTGCATTTTGACCTAAACGGTCTTTTAATTTTTTACAGCACGTCCCCTGCAATCCTTCACGATGACCCAATGTGTAACTATCCACTGACCCTTCACTGATCATCCAGGAGCCACATCACTGTGTGCGCTCCACCTCACGGCATCATGGGGGACGTAGTTCAAATGCACTTCAGCACGGTGGATTACGTGATTTTCGTCTTGCTGCTAGTGGCCTCCGCTGGAATCGGCCTTTACTACGCCTTGTCAGGGGGTCGCCAGAGTACCACACAGGAGTTTCTGCTGGCCGACCGCAGCATGCGCTGCCTTCCGGTGTCTCTTTCACTACTGGCCACTTTTCAGTCAGCGGTGGCCATCCTGGGCGCCCCATCGGAGATTTACACACATGGCACGCAGTACTGGTTCCTGGGCTGCTCCTACTTCCTGGGCCTGCTCATCCCTGCACACATTTTCATTCCGGTTTTCTATCGGCTCCGCCTCAGCAGCGCCTATGAGGTAACACTATAGAAATTCACTTTATTAGATTGTTTGAAAGACTGGAGTCAGTCACAGATTGGGAATCAAAGTTGGTTCTTTTTTTAATGAATCAATGAATCCGGTTCAGAAATCAGTCAGCGAATGATTCATTAGTGATGTAGTCTTTTTTAAAGGGGACCTATTATGCCCCTTTTCACAAGATGTAAAACGAATATTTGATGTCCCCAGAGTGTGTATGTGAAGTCTTAGCTCAAAAGCTCAAAAAGCATTTTAAAATTGCCAAATTTGGGCTTGTGCAAAAACGCACTGTTTTAGCGTGTTTCTCTTTAAATGCTAATGAGCTACTGCTCCCGCCCCACTTTAAGTATACTGTTTTATGACAGTAAATTAGGTGTACACTACCTTTCCAAAGTTTGGGGTCGGCAAGATTTTTTAATGTTTCTAAAAAAGTCTCTCACCAAGAATGCATCTATTTGATAAAAATACAGTAAAAAATTGCAATTTAAGTGTATAATTGCAATTTAATTATATGTTCTATTTTATTATAAAATGTAAAAATGTAATTTATTCCTGTGAATTTCCAGCAGACATTGCTCCAATCTTTAGTGTTACATGATCCTTCAGAAATCATTCTAATGTGCTGATTTAGTGCTAAAGGAACATTTCTTCTTATTATCATTGTTGATTGAACATAATTTGTTCAGTTCTACGTTACAATTTTGTAAATTGCTGTTATAAAACTGAACGTAGAACTGCTCTATTGTGTTTCTATCTATATTAAATTGCATTCTTTTTCCTCTTCATAGTATCTGGAGCTTCGTTTTTGTAAAAGTGTTCGGATATGTGGCACTGCGACCTTCATCTTTCAGATGGTGAGTCATGAGCAGCACCTGAAGGAGTAATAATCTAATAATCTAAAGTAATATTGTCTTTTACTCCAGTTTTGCTAGGCACAAAGACTCCCTGTTGTCAATATAAAAACTTGAACTTACACCTACAGATCTACTCTGACACCCCCCATTGATATAGACAATATTTTACTCACCGTTATGGATCTAAAGTGTAATGATTCTCAAAACTATCAGTTACTAGATGTGTAAATTCAGAGAAAAAAGTTATAATGTCCCAAAGCAGTCTAATGTGTCTGTAGAAAAGCATCCGTTACATCTGTCTATTGATGTATTTTTCCACAGGTTATCTATATGGGAGTCGTTCTGTATGCTCCCGCACTTGCACTAAATGCAGGTAAATGAGATTATTTATGCATTACTAGAAATCCATGTTGCTGTATATCAGATCAGATTTCATGTTTTGTTTCTCTGGTAAATGTTTCTTTGAATTTGTTTGTGATCGCAGTAACAGGTTTTGACCTTTGGGGGGCAGTGCTAGCCATGGGATTGGTGAGCACGCTTTATACTGCATTGGTAAGTTGGAGAGGCAATTACTCAGAAGTGACATTGATAATGTTAAAACGCTACTATTCTAAACCTACCCATCACAGAAAATATTCGCCATTCCTACATTAAAAAAAAAAATATCACTTGTTTTTCTCTGGACTGGAGTAATGAAGCTGAAAATTCAGCTTTGCTATCACAGGAATAATTTTTACATTTGCAATACCTTTGAATGGTAGTCTACATCCTAACTCACCTGTTCCTCTCTTGTCTGTGCCAGGGGGGTCTGAAAGCAGTGATCTGGACAGACGTGTTCCAGACAATCGTGATGTTTGCGGGGCAGCTGGCAGTGATCGTGGTGGGCACCCACCAGGCAGGTGGCATCGCCGAAGTATGGAGGAAAGCACAAAACGGCAGCCGTATCTCAGGCCTTGAGTGAGTTTTGCATTTTTCTATAATTTTATGAGTTGACTTCAAGGAACGGTTTACCCAAAAACTAGTTTTGTCATTATTAACTCAGCCTAATTTCATTCATTTTGGGCGAACTGTACCAGAATTGTAATGGAAGCCTGCATTCATTGTTTTGTGGTCCCCTGTGGCAGCCTAAACCCTGACCCGTTAGAAAGGCACACGTTTTGGACTCTAGGAGTGGGGGGCGTTTTCCTCATGCTGGCCCTGTATGGAGTGAATCAGGCGCAGGTCCAGAGATATCTCAGCTCCCGCTCAGAGAAAGAGGCCATCATGTAAGAAAACATCACACTCTGGTCAAGTCAATAGAACTTGAAACTGTAAACTTGTTTTGTGTACCATTTGCACATTTGTTATATTAAATTACTGCAACAAAACTCTATGATTTCAGAGCACCACAGTGGCATGCTTTATTATTATTGTATTTTGGTGGTTAATGTTTGTTTTCATAAAGTGGCCAGTACATTCTGAAAGGCTTTTGGGGTGTCTTGTTCTCCAGGTCCTGCTATGCGGTGTTTCCATGCCAACAGGTTGTGCTCACATTGGGCTGTCTAATGGGTCTTGTTATGTACGCTCGATATGGGGAGGAGAGCCCCCTGGATAAGGGCTACGTCAAAACCAATGACCAGGTCTTAAAATAATAACTATATTTTTTAGTTTAAATCTTATTGTTTTTGTTGTTGTTTTCCTCTGAAGTGTTATACCATTTACCATTCCCTTGTGTGTGTGAGAGTTTATAATTTTATTCAAAATTTTATAAAATTTCCCCTTTTATTCAGCACACTGTTGTTGAATTTACACTATCGTACAAGTTTGGAGTCAGTAAGATTTGACTCTTTTGACTTTTTTTTAATTTTTTTAAAAGAAGTCTCTTATGCTCACCAAGGCTGCATTTATTTGATCACAAATACAGTAATATTATTCAATTTTATTGCTATGTAAAATAACTGTTTTCTAGTTTAATATATTTTAAAAACGCAATTTATTCCTGTGATGGCAAAACTGAATTTTCAGCATCATTACCGCAGTCTTCATTTATTTAAAAAAAAAAATAAAAAAATTCAGGATTCTTATTTGAAACTGCTATTTTTTGTAACATTATAAATGTCTTTACTGTTACTTTTAATCAATCTAATGCATTATTGCTGAATAAAAGTATTAACTCCTTATAAATAAATCTTACTGAGTTCAAACTTTTGATTAGTAATGTATGTTAATTTGATCAATGGGATCAAGAGAAAGTCACTCTCCACCTCTCTCTCTCTCTCTGTAGATGGTACTGTACTTTGTAATGGATGTGTTGAGAGATCTTCCCGGTTTACCAGGACTATTTGTTGCCTGCCTGTTTAGTGGAGCTCTCAGGTATCAACCAGAGTTTGTGATAATTTGTCTTCCGTAATCTTAATGTCATTTTATATATATTTTTAAACATTCTTCTTTAAATGGTGTTTGCTTTATCTTATAGCACAATCTCATCTGCCTTCAACTCTCTGGCAACAGTTACCATGGAGGACTTGATCAAACCACATGTCCCTGCCATGACGGAGGCTCGTGCCACCCTGTTATCAAAAATGTTGGGTAAGTGAATTTTCAATAACTGTCTGGCAGATATTTTTTGATTTTTCTATGAGTGGTCCATCTCCTCCCCTTATGTTCCTGGTTATAGTACAGTGATATTAAAAAAATATATATTGTCCATACTTACAGCGATTGGCTATGGGCTTGTGTGTCTAGCTATGGCATACCTCGCATCCCTAATGGGCTCTGTGCTGCAGGTGAGGTCCATGATTATCATAACATGATATAATAATAAGATAAACACAAGTAAATTTAAGGTGTCATTTAATTAAATGTAATCGTACAGTTAACACTCTTTCTGTCTATCTCTGTGTTTTTTCCCTTCTGTTAAATCCTTAAGGCGGCACTCAGTATATTTGGGATGGTAGGAGGACCTCTTCTTGGCCTTTTCTGTCTTGGGATGTTTTTTCCTTGGGCCAATTCCACTGTAAGTCATAAAGCTGTTCAAAAGTTTGGGTCGATAAGTTTTAAAAAATGTGAAAGACGTTTCTTATACTCAAGGCTGCATTTATTTGATTAAAAATACAGCAAAACAGTAATATTGTGAAATATTATTATGTAATTTAAATAAACTGTTTACTGTGGTAATATATGTTAAAATAATTCATTAATTCATGTGATGGCAATGGTGAATTTTCAGCAACTACTCCAGTCTTCAGTGTCACATGATCCTCCAGAAATCATTTTAAATTATGATTTAGTGTTTAGTGTTCATTTGTTCATTTGATTTAAAAAAAAAAACATTTTTATGATTATTTAATGTATAGATAGTTCAAAAGAACAGCGTTTATTGAAACAGAAAACTTTTGTAACATTATAACAGTATCACTGTGGATCAATATAATGCATCTTTGCTGACAGTAATTTATGTTAAAAATAAATCTTACTGACCCAAAACAGCTTTGTAAATCTTTTTTACTAAGTATCCTGTCACTAATGCACTGAAATTGAGTATATTTAATGGTATGATTTCATTTGATGGACTGAGTGTGTTTTCAGGGTGCTCTGGTTGGACTGGCATCAGGGCTGGTCATGGCTTTCTGGATCGGTATCGGCAGTTTTGTTTCACGTATGTCTCCACCTGGGATAAATGCCACCATCATGCCTGATGTAGGAAACATGACAACAGCTGTCATGACGACGCTCATCACAACTAAACCCAGGTGTGTATTTATAAGAAATGGCGCTTCATGGCGACTAAATGGCATTGTGCAGCTGGTCCCTGATTACAATTCATAAAGCCTTTTCAAAATGATAGCTATATTACAGACTTAACCGGCCTATTTATTGTGTCTTTTTGTCTTTTCAGGCCCTCTGGAGTTCAGGCTCTGTACTCTTTATCATACATGTGGTACAGTGCTCATAATTCTACCACGGTTGTGGTGGTGGGACTACTGGTCAGCTTTCTCACTGGTAAAGTGTGTTTCTAAACACTTCAACATAGGGACAACTTAAATTGTTACTCTTAAATGATATAAATGTTGGGTAGATACACTGCTAATTTGCTTTAGTACAATGACATATTAAAGCAAATTATTTATTTTTGGAAACATGTTGTTTTAATAATATAAAATGTCCTGTTTCAACACATAAAAAAAGGAAAAATTACCACATAAAAATATATAGATGCCTTTAAATTTTAGTAAAGGGGTCCCTCACAATGGCATCATCATACAAAGGGGTCCTTAATGTTTGAAAACCCCTGGTCTACAATGACATTTTTAGCAGTTGTATATTGGTATTATTTATATAATATTTTAGTGTTTATTAAAATGTTTAATTAGCTTTTATTTTTATATTTTCAGTTTTTATTGTAGTTTGAGTAATTGTAAATGCTTTTGTCATTTTTATTAGTTTTTATTGAGGTTATATATGTATATATATATATATATATATATATATATATTCATTTATTATTTTTTATTAGCTTTATTTCAGTTACTGAACGCAATCTTTAATAGTTTAGTTTTAGTTAACAATAACAACACAGTTTATTATGCTGCAAAAAATAAATAAACCATATTGTGGTCTGTGTCCACTCAGGGCCATGGAAGGAGAAGGACTTAAACCCAGGTACTATTTACCCTGTTCTTGGCACTTTGCTGTTCTTTCTGCCAGAACGGTACAGGGAGAAACTCTGCTGTGTAACCCCACTGGAAGACAAGGTAACTCATCACTTTCAAAGTTGACATCACTTTCAAAATCCAGTTTCATTTACAACATTCCTACTTTCATTATGGGGTACAGCCCAAAGGTCTGGACCTCCAGCCTTACCTGATTGCCCAGATAAAGAGCAACGGTGTTGCCTGCACTAGTGAAGAAGACAAGATCAGGGAAGAGGAGGGAGAACAGATAACCGCCCAGCCAACTTGTAACCTGGCCCATATGGTGCAGGAAACAGCCTTGTGAAATCTCCTACACTATGACAGACCTAAAGCACACTTAGTTTCCCACAGGCTCAAGGGGAAAAACATCTGTTAGAATGTCAACAGATGCCAGCGATGGAGGTGAGAGGTTGTCTTGTTTATATGTGATACTTAATGATGTCAGTGGTCTGTCATAAAAATCGTATTGTGTTTGAGATCCTGTTGAACAAATTGAGACGTGTTGAGCTGATGTGATCACCTAAATCTTTTAGTTTACATGTCCTAAATTTAATCTTAAGATTACTCGTTTGAAAATTGCTGGGTCGTGATATACGCGTCGCACACGCACAAATCAAAGAGACCATGCTGAACGGCGGGTTTAAGATGGAGGGTTTATTACGTACAAGAAAGACCACAGTTTGCACAAATCTTTAGTCGTTAAATGTCACTGCCATTCAAGTTTCGGGGTTTCTCTCTCCCAAAGATTTTGTTTCGTCCAAAGTTCACTACCATTAGCCTTTCCATTCTGTTTGCCTTTGAAAGCACTACAGATGAGTTCACTAAACCGAGTTAAGTTTACAGCAAATGAAGTATGGCTGGTATCGAAAAATGTAAATGTAGTGAACTTTCAACGTGTCATCAACAGTGAAGATGTGCCATATTGTGATCAAACCAATGAATCTAATGCATGTTTAATCTGTAGTTACCTCTTTGAAGCCCATTGTTTGTGACAAGTGCCTCCTCATATGAATGTATGATGTAGTTTTGTGACTGGATTGCTTCTTTAGTTTGTCGTTTCGTAGTCTAAGCCAAATGGAGAATGGCCCTGACCATGATAAGATGTTTTTTAAGCATCTGGATGCCCCTCTATTTTATTCCCATGATGCTTTGCATTGTGAGAGCCTGGATAACTATACTTTAACATCTCAAAAAATTTATAATTATGTTTGCCTAGATTGCATATTATTTTAAAATAGATCAAACCATCTTGATTCTGACCCTGATAAGATGGTTTTTAAGCATCTGGATGCCCCTCTATTTAATTCCCATAATGCTTTTCATTGTTAGAGCATGGCTAACTTTAGTTTAACATCTTAAAAAAATCTATATATTGCATATTATTTTGGTATAGATGATTATTTAGGAAACGGTCATGTTTAGAAATGTTCTTTAAAGGAACGCATCGACTTTTTGGGACTTTAGCTTATTCACCGTATCCCTCAGAGTTAGATAAGTCCATACATACCATTTTTATCTCTATGCGTTCTGTAACTCTGTCAGACACACACACCGCTAGCCTAGCTTAGCACAAAGACTGGAAGTAAATGGCTACAGCTAGCATACTGCTCCCAATAAGTGACAAAATAACTCCAACATTTTCCTATTTATGTGTTGTGATTTGTATAGTCACAGTGTGTAAAAATAACAAGGTCACATGAAACACAGCCATCTTTTAACCGTATACATACTGGGAACTATATTCTCAGAAGGCAAAGCACTTCTACTTGGGCGGAGTGATTTGCGCTGTGCTAATCACTCCATCCAAGTAGCAGTGCTTTGCTTTCTAAGAATTTAGTTCCCAGTATGTATACGGTAGACTTATCTAACTCTGAGTCTGGGGGATACGTTACATAAGCTAAAGTCTCAAAAAGTCGCTGTGTTCCTTTAAAGTTACAATAGCCTATGATTCACGTATTTGATCTTAGATTTAGTAGTAAAGATGCTTGTTATAGTATCAAGAGTACTATGATGAAGACTAACTTCATAGAATTGAAACCTCAGTGCTGGTTACTGACCATAATTAGCAGTATTAGCATATGAATTGATATGGTTGCACTTGGGTACTTGTAATTTGATTCGTTTTTGATGTTATAGTGGCATTTTCTGTGCTTTGCTGTCTATTTCAAATTCAAACCTCAGTCTAAGCCATACCATTTGTAGTTGCTATAGGCTTCCTAGGTCCTTGTATTGTGCCTATACTGGAACGAGAACTTTCTCTCAACTGTCACAATCTCACAAACAGATATTCTATTATAGTCTATTATATTTTCAGGTTATGTGCGCTCTGGCTGGGCCAACAGTTTGTGGAAGTCTTGCAGTTTTTGTTTGTTTGTTTATTGTTGGTGTCTCATCTTGGTCTGGTGACAGTTTTCATCCTATGTGGAATCATGATCGTTTCATGGTGACTTTAAAATGAATTTCTTAAGCAAACATGCTGTTACACCACGCCTTGCTGTTGTTTCAACAACCTGCTTTTTTAAAATAGCATGCGATGATTAACAAAAAACAGAACATTTTTTTTAAAGGGTCTCGAGAACAGTGTTGGGGAGATTTATTTTTAAATGCATTACAGTATTGCGTTACTCCCTAAAAAAGTAACTAATTGTGTTACTTTTTCTTACCTAGGCTGGGCTTGTTTGTTTTTACTAACAAAAAGTTCCATTTTTGTTACGGTTTCGTTTAGAGCCAGACCGAGATATCGGTCGGCCGATATTAGGCATTTTCCAAAATATCGGTAGCGGCAGCTATAATGGCAGATAAATGAATATTTAAAAAATAAAATAAAAACGGACGAAACACGCTTTAATCATCTCTCCTTGGCCTGTTATATTGAAAATGTATGTTTTAAAATTTGCAGTATGATGTTATCTATTGTTAAATTATGGCTCATCATAGACTAGCTAACCACAAAGCTAGCTAATGCCACTATCATCAGTGGAAGACCGCTAACGTTAACATTCATGAGCTTGGAAACAACAATGAACTTTTTCTGCCTAAATAAAGTAATGATTACTGTGTATTTTTAACTAGCACATCCCTAGTTACAGTCAAGTTATACTTGCGAGGAGTGAACATTTAGACATAGAGAAAAAGTATCAAACGTATCTTGTGCAGAAAAGTTAGCTTTTCTTTTACACGTGTGTGAAATCCAACAATACTTAATAAAAAAAAATATCGGCCGATATATCGGAATATCGGATTTTAAAACCCAAAAATATTTGTATCCGGTATCGGCCTTCAAAATCCTTTATCGGTCGGGCTCTAGTTTCGTTTTTAGTTTATTAGTGTGGTTGAATTGGATCATCAAAGGTCAGAAGCATAGACTTTTGGTTATTAAAGAGAGATTAAATACTTAAAGTATATTTGTATTATTCAAGATATTTAATTATTGCAGGTTAGCCAAGTATTCTGGGTTAGCAATTCAGTTATTAATTTGAGAAATTTGTTTTTGTGCAGTTGAGATGAGTAAATGGCTGCTCATTACTTGAAAAGTAATCTAATTATGTAACTCAAATTATTTTTAATCACATTTTAACTCAAACACTGCTCGAGATCCTGCGTTCTCTCCATTTCGTAGCGCTGTCTCGGATGTCTCTTTTTCTGCACTGCTTCTTGCTCGTCCTGTATTCAGTTCGATTTCGTTATGATCCATCTTTCTGTGTTTGAAAGTTACTTTGTGTCCAGCCTTTTCTTCATATTGTTCGATGAACGGCATATTTTTAATGACGCTATTTCAAGTTATACAATTTCTAACTTTTTAAACACATCCTTACATTCCATTGCAGTCTTTTGTTTTCGAATGGAAGTACGCGTCCTGTGTGAAGTAACGGCCCCAAGAGTTAGTTGAGTGATGATGACCACTCCACATTTCATAAGATCTTCACTCCTTAAGAAATATATTGACAGCAATGAGTCACGACACATTTAGTTTTCTGCTACGGTGTGTGTTCAGTTCAGTGTCAGTATTCTTGACACTATATTTAATCCATCCAGTTCAAGCTTTTAGATTGATAATGATATTTATTTCAGGTATGAAAATAAAGAAATTTGTTTGGGATTTAGAAACTTGAGCATTCCACTCACATGGTCCGATAGAGATTATCCCTTTAATGTAAAATGTAAACATTGATTTCTCATGTTCTCCTATTACATTCATTGTGTAAAAGACATTGTTCTTAACATTACTAGTGTCATAATGTAGTACGTGTAAGACTGGATCAATTGCATGTTGAGTTGCCATCCGTCATACCTGAAATTACTTGAATTATGTGTGTAAATTGCTTTCAAACACCTGAACTTTTAAAAGTATTGAGCACTTGATTTTACAGACTGAATATTGTATCTAAATTGTTCCACTGATGAATTTTTCTCTCTCCCAAGAGTGTCTTAATTCAGAATGCGATGAAATAAGGATTAAATCACCACAGACACATTTTAAATCTACATACAACAGGACTAATTGTTAAGGCACAGGCAGGGACTGAACTATTATAAGCTATGCTGTCCTACAATCTAAAACTGTGTAACCCTAAGAGAATCAACCTTGGGGGGCCTATGTGGATAAAAGACACTGAGCTCTACTGTGAGAATAGTTTTTTTATGACATTTTAATATACATTTTATATGGGAAGCACAACACTCGTTAGTACAAAATAAATATTTAAATACGTAATATTTATGTTTGTATAAATATTATGAGAATATTTATTTTTATGGAAGTTTTCCTATTTTATTTTCCCAAATATGCATTCCAAAAAACCATAAGCAATGGAGTCTGACCAGCTTGATTGCTTTGGGCGTGCCTTCACTTAAGTGTCTCTTGATTTGATTGGTCGTGAAAGTTCCCGCAGAGAACTTTCCTTTATGTGAAAAAGAGACAGTTGCATTGGCCTGCAGAGCGTCTATAGCGATGATTGTTTTATTTAAATAGATGAATGCAGAATAAAGGATCCGATAGCCACTCTAGTGGGCATTACTTTGAACCATGAACACTTTTTTTTCCTCTTGATGAATTGTTTGTAATAAGAATGTGATATAAAATTTGTCTTGATAAAAATAAAAATGTCTTCCTGACTGTCTTCTGTGATTTCTGTCATTGCCACATATCTCTAGGATTCAGTAACTGTGCTTCAATAAAGGATAGGCTAAAGTAAAATTTCATATCATAATTATATTGGTCTTGTGATCCCATTCAAAAACACCTCAGCATCTTCATAAATAATCACATCACAAGCAAGCTCCTGTCAATATATAATTGTTTAATTACAATAAAACAAAGGCGCATTCCGTAGTAAGTTACTATCATTAAACAGCGCTATTACCATACCTAAAAATAAATGTAATGCATTTAATAGTGTTGATTAGCAGATTGCTGTGGTACAAGGATTGTTTTTTTTACTTCATGGTCATCACTGTTCAGATGCATTTATGAGAGTCCCATGGATATGAATAAGAGTACATAGAATGACTCATTTCCTCTTTCTCTTCTCTACAATCTTGACAAAGTTCTGAACATCCTCTGCCAGTAACTGCGGCTCCTCCATAGCAGCAAAATGTCCCCCACGGGCCATGGGAGTGTAAGTCTTGAGCCTACGGTATTTCTGTGTCACCCACAATTTAGGGGTGTGCATCAACTCATTGGGGAAAGAGGCCACACCAGTTGGAACATAAACTGGAAGCCTAATGGGTGAAAGAGAAATAGCACATTAATTAAGCGATCTCGCATTATGCACTACCATTCAAAACTTTAGGGTCAGTAAGATATTTTTTTCATTAAATCAATTCAGCAAGGGTACAATACATTTATTTACTGAGTGACGGCAAAAAATGTATCCATCACAAAATCCAGAAAAAAGTACCACAGTATCAAAAATAAAAACATTAAGCAGCTCAACTGTAGGATCATGTGACACTGAAGACTGGAGTAATGATGCTGAAAATTCAGCTTTGTCATCACAGGAATAAATTACTTTTTTGGTGAGCATAAGAAACTTTAAAAACATAAATTCTTAATCAATCCCAGATGGTAGTGTGCATATTTACATGTAGAGCAGTTCCTGTGTCTAATATATACAAATAATTCTGGGAACACAATTAAGCTTCATGTTAATCAAAGCCTGTATTTCTCTTACTTTGCATGGGGCTGGTCTAAGCCTTTGCCAAAGTTCTCTTTGTAGAAGCGCATGGAGGATATGATGCACCTAGAGGTCCAGTAGATCATCACATTCGTCAGTAGATCATCAAGAGAAAACTTCCTGTTGGGGAATCAACAGATTTTTTTAACTGAACACACATTTCACTGACTATATATATATATATATACTACCTCTCCAGTCCACCATCCTCAAGTTTCTTAAATTCAGGATCAGTCCAGGTTGAAAATTTCTCCAAAATGTAGGCAGCCAAACCAACAGGAGAGTCATTCAATCCACGACCTGTGCAATACAGAAAAGCGTCAAATTAAATTTCAAATTCTGTTACATAAACCCAAATATATAATCCAGTGGACTAATGTCACAACAGATTTATATGTGGAGTCTTGAGTGCAACAGCGACCGTCCCTTTTTTCAGTGGCACTGGTTCCAGTATTTTTACATTCATTTTTTCTATTGGGATTTTTTTAAGTCTTCATTAAAGAGTTATAAGCCATGCTTTAGTTATAAGCAACTGATTTGAAGCATTGTTTTTTTTTTTTTAGAAAAGTACACAAAAAGACAAAGGTACAAGACTGTACTTATAGGGTTTAGTTAGATTGAAGAAAAACTACAATCCCATGAAGCACTGCGAACAGCATAATCGAATTAAAATGACAGAGAAATATAAAACTTCATTTCAAATGTAGATTATATATATATATATATATATAAAACTTCATTTCAAATGTAGATTATATATATATATATATATATATATATAGTAGGAATGGGCATTTTTCAAAAATATTGTATTTGAATATTTGGGCTAAAAAGCAATGCGTTTATTTAAATGACGTTTAACGAGAAATACCTTATTTTTTATTACCGGTAGTTAGTTTTTCACAAGGATTTCCACTGTTAAGCAATTATTTTAAAAATACCCTGAAATAATGTAGGCTGATGGCTTGAGCAGAAGCACATATCATGGATTAAAAACCTTGTAGCTCATAGTAGGTCTAAGTAAGTTATTGATCAATTTCACTATGGAGAAAATGAATGTTTTTACTTCCACAGCCGGACAGTTCTGCACTCTATTCAAAGATGCACATTTTTATCCATTTAATTCACTTTATAAAGGTCTCTCACCCACAGTGTCAGGTTTAGTGGCTTGTATGTGCATGTATCCAGTCTCCTTCACAGAATTCACTACAAGCTTTTCCATACGAGGGAAAAGGCGTTTCACGTCATGTTCAGTGAAGCCAAAGAGTTTGGGGAATCGTTGACCAAAAAGTATAGACAACACCATGAGAAGGCCTGGTTTTGCAGGTGGAGCAAAGTTAACGTGGAGGCCTTTCACAGCACTAAAAAGAAAGGTGAACAACAAGAGTACTTATTGAAATCTTTTATCTTCCTTTAATATATCTGACTTTAATTTACTGCATTCTATGTGATGATTTCAATGAAATTAAATACTTTAATACAGTGTTTCTCACCCACTAGGGGGCCTCAGCAAACCTCCAGAGAGCCCCGACAAGTCTTAAAATCAATGTTGTTCTTTTAACATAATCTTAAATAAATGTTGATTTAAGTACTAAAGATATATATCAGTTAAAATAGGAGTGCCTTCTTTGAATATTGTCTTGGACAAAGTTTGGGCCTTAAAGTCAAAAAAGTTGAGAACCAATGCTTTTATACATACTTGGGCTCCAGCTGGGTCATATTGGTGGTAATAAGCCAACCCCAGTCTCCTCCCTGAACGTAGTACTGGTTAAAACCAAGACGCTTCATCAGTTTATTAAATATGTGCGCTGCACATACAGAGTCGAACCCTGTGCAAAACACATTATGATCATAAAAAATGGAATTGTATGGAAAACAAACCAATTTACATGTTTTTGAAACAAATATCTGTTGGGTTGGGTTGTTTGCCATTTACCTTTCTTATGTGGGGCCTCTGAGAAACCATAACCAGGTATTGAGGGACAGATGACTTCGAAGGCTATGTCATCAGGGCTGGCTGGCTCCGTAAGCAGGGGGATGATCCCATAAAACTCATAGAAGGAGCCTGGCCATCCATGGACCATCATCAGAGGTACAGCTCGGGTTCCCTCTGGCAGGTTCTTCGGTTTCACGTGAACATAGTGAATATCAATACCTTTTTTTTAATAGAGGACAATACAACACAGAACAACAATGAAATCTGTTGTAGTGTAGTATAATATATGCAAAATGTAAGTGTCTATCTGTGAAAAATAGTAGGTCTGCCCTGGATGATATTTCCTGAATAAAAAGATTTATTTCTTAGTATTTTTGTGGTGATGATTCAAAAAATAGTGCCAATTTTCTCACTAAAACGTGTTGTGCATTTCATAGCATTTTTGCTTTCAACAGTCTTGTATCATCCATAAGTCATCATAAAAACTGCCACAAAGACATGATTCCTATCTTTCTCTGAGCCATGTTAGAGTTATTTGTTTAGTTCTCTGCTGATTTTCACTTGTATAACATTATTTTAGACCAAATCCTGAAACAGAGGTGAATGTACAGTGACATTTTGAAGTTTATATTTTAATTTAATTTTGTATTACTACTTCCAAACAGCATTTGGTAAAAAGTGTGGGGGAAAACGTTTTTCTGTTTATGTAAAGTTCTTTGACAGTATTTGAACACTCCAAAGTGTTTAAAAAAAGGTTAAAATATACATTTTATATACTTCTTTTTGTCATTAAAACGAAACCTTTGACATTTGACTGCTTTTGCTATTTTGATTGGTTCATTGAAAAAAAAATCATCTTTTCACGTTTGTAAAAAATAAGTACATCATTAATTTTCAATTCAGCATCATCAAATTAGATATATATTTGCTTTTTTTATGGAAATCAGCTGATTTTTTTTCCAAGATCCAGACATGTATATTTCTCTCTATAGCAGCGTACTAGTTAAGACTCACCTTCGATTTTGGTTTTGAAATGAGGATATTTGTTCAGTTTATCCACTTGTTTGCTCCAACTAAAATCATTCCTCCAATAAGACACAACCTTATCAAGGTATTTGGAGTTGAAGCCATAGTTAAACTGACTATCTTCAAGAGAAGGAAAAGAGCGGGTCTGATCCAGCCTGCGGTGCAAATCCTAAGGAATATAAAGGAGCTTTTTCTAAAGACAAATCCAAAAAGTATATCTCCACTGAAATAATTATTCAAAATTTTATTCTGATGACATCACATCAGGATTTACCTCAATCTCTTCTGGAGTTGTCTCAACTTTAAACGGGCGGATACTATCGTCCTCGGGTCCTTGGGGACAAGCTCCCACACCCCACCACCCATCCTGAGCTTTCAGGACATTCTTTCTCGTCTTCAAGAATACCAGAGCAATCACTGCTCCGAGCCCCAATGCCACTGCCAACTCTAGGTACATGGTTTAAGGGCCTGGATGGAATAAAGCAAAATTACAGTTATCGACTAGCTTTAACCTGACATGTCTTGCTCAAGGGTTAATTGAATATGAACCAGCAAACTTTCATCCTCTAGGCAACATGATTTTAATGCATGCATGCAAGAAAATGGAGCAAAGGTTTATTGTTGCACAACATTCCCAGCACTGGGATTAGGGTGGACAAAGCTCGGTGGTAACAACATGTGGGTCACAATGCATGACAAAGCTTTTCTCTGTCCAACTCCTAATGCACAGTAAATACCTTGTGAATAGCAATCTGTTGATTTGATCTGTGCTGTGCTAATTTATGAATTTTTCACAGAAATATCATAAGACATGACCTCACCTGACATTTTTTTTCTGCAGTTAAATGATATAAAAAAAATTATATCTGAATATTAATTTATTCTAACAGGCTAGATAATTCTGGTGGAATTAAAGCAATAGACTAAGCTAAATTATTCTCAATCTTTATCTTGAAAGAAACGATGAGTCGCAGACAGAACCTGTACATAAGTTACTTGCAAATCCATTTACCCTAATAAAGTTATTATTAAAAGCTGTATAACAATGAAGTTGTTGCATAATGAGTTTTATTTCATGAAAAAAAAAAATAACTGAGCTACATCAACATCAGGAATAGCAACACACTGACAGTATGTTGTTGCAAAATGAACATTAATTTACAACGTAACTAGGTAAAACATGCAAAAACGCCATGATTATTAACACCAGACGTGATGCCCACTCACCTCAATGTAGCAAAGTTGCTGTGTGATCGTTTAGCACCAAGACGCAGTAACTTACGCACAATGCACTATGGGAAATGTAGTCACAAAACGCGCTGTGATCACTTCCTTTGGAAAACACATGTCTGTCATTCTGTTCTGTGAAATCATTTTAGTAACTGCACACCAAGCAAACGTTTTCACATTTCACGATATGGTATTTTGATTGCAGTTATTATATGACCCTGTAATTAAGTTAGATATGCCTAATAGTTAAGACGTTCTCTTTTTAAAATCAAAACATTAAAAAGGTAAAAAAAATAAAACTATTTTTAAAAAAACTGCCCAACATTTAACTTACGCGAATTATGATTTTTCCATGATTTTTGAACGGATATTATAAATAACATTAACCGTTTTTTCAACGGCTCTGGTGTGTGGGAAAGACTGAAAGGGCGAAGTTTCTCACTCACGAAAAAAACGCTAACGTTACTGTAACTGACTGGACTGAAGCAGTGCGCGCAAAAAGACAAGCAAAAGTGCCTGGGAAGTGGGAAGGGTTGACGGGCTTTCTGAGGTAAAACACATTTGTCTGACAACAAATTATTCCAGAACCTCATTCACACAAACGTGAGTTTTACAATAATATTTTAGGTGAAGGTTACCTGGAGTTGCGGAACGACAACGCTGAAAAAAATCTACCAAGATGGCCTACAAAATACTTTCTCCATAGTGGTACGGAAGGAACACATATTAAAAAAGGTATATTCAATGTGACAATATGTGCTAGGCTAGTTTGGTACATTTGTAACTGTACATCCTTATATTTTTTTCCATGAGGAAATATGAAAAACAAAGAAAAAACAAACATGCATGTAAACATGACAGATAATACTTGGTCATGCTGAACGGATAACTTTAAGCCAGATAGTGAGAACAGTAAATTGTATCCATGTACGACACTGAAGTCCTACCAAATATAAAAACAAAAAGGTAAGGTTAACATTGTTTAGAAAAAAAAATAGATTAAAATGATGTCACTGTACACAAATGTTGAGTGTCAATAATTACACATTAATTTAACCGTAAAAGCATTGTTACATGTTTGTAGACTCTAATGCTGTTAGAAAGTAAGAGTCAAATAAAATAGGATGGAAAAAAAAAAGAGAAATTTATTTAGGTTCAAATGTACATCATGCATAGACATACAAACTAGATTGCAATGAAATCCAAATGAAGAAGGTCCTGTTTCGAAATGTATTCCCTTGATGTTGGTGCAGTTAAAACCCACTTTTTCCGAACATTTAATAATAGGCAGACCAACTGAAACTACTGTATAACCATTACAAGGTTGTCCGACCTCCAGAATAACACAAATATCAGCATCTTGTATAGGGTGTTTCCTCTTGTCTTGCTGCTTGCTCTCCAAACGAGCATAATCTTCAACATTCTCAGTATACAGTCAGTTACACATCAACCAAACTTCATCTCCATCCTCCTGTAGATCCGTCTCTCTTCATTGTCAGTAAGATTGAATAACAAACAACTGTCCAATCCCAACAGGTTCTTTGATTCATTCAGTCCGTTTCCATAGAACCACTGTGGGTCTCTTTGGAGACCATTAATCTCATCAACTTCCCATGCAGTTTCTCGATTTTCTTTACATCTTGGGCCTGGTCGGTCTTGTACTGTAAACACTAAGAAGAAACGTACAGTGAATCTAACATGATCTACATAAGACCACACACAAAACAGGACTTCTTGCAAGGGCTAAAAACATACATACCACAGCATCATCTGTGACCTTCATACAGATATTTCCATCACAGTGTCGATATTTCAGAACCACTCTGACCTGAATGGACAACATTAACAAGACAGTTACAGTGCATCAGAAGAACATGTAACGTTAAGGTTTGAATATTGCAGTCTTTCTCTGGCTGACACTTCAGGCATTCATAAGCACGATAGTGTTTGTACTTGCAGACAACAATTCGAATACGAATTTATTGTTTAAATTTATTTATGAGTGTAAAATATGTGCTTGTAGCCGGTAGCCTGAAAATAAAACTAAAGGTTGTTTATCAATTACCTTCATCGGGTCCGTCAAATAAAGTTTTTCTGCTGCTCGTGCAAATTCTTCCCACGTCTGGTAATAAGGCATGATGTGATAAACACTAAATTTAGGGTATTCTGGTAAATACTTTAGAGGCGTAGCAATACACAGCTGTTTGAAGTAAAACCCAGGTGGCATAAAATATGGCCACTTTGAGTCGTAGAAAAACGCACTCTGATTGGTCAGAACCCGAACTGGCCAATATAAAACGTGCACACTGACGAGTAATCACTACGTAGTCTACGTGGTCTGATTTGAGGATTGTGATTGGTTCATTGAAATAGAATGAGCGCTAGAATGAAAAGAAAGGCGGGGCTTAGCCCCGTTGTCACGTGGTACCTGTGACGTTTAAATCACAGTCAGGGCGGATCAATCATAAGTATTTGTGATGACTTCATTTAAAATAATTTGATAGAAATTGCTAAATATCATTTACATGGTGATGTACATAGACATAGCCATTGGAATAGAATATTTTAAACGATTAGTTATTGTAGTTACAAATGCATTTAGTAAGACACAAAACGTCATGTGATTTGAATGCGGCTTTGAGGAGGATTCGGTATTTTGAGCCACTGTGCGCGCTCCCTGCTGGTAAACAACCGTCTCATCGTATCCAAGACAAGCACTAACTTCTAATATTTCCCGTAAAGGGCCGGTGTATATGGGCCAGGAATATAAAGGACTGTTATTTTGAACTGTTAATTCATTAATTCAGAATATTTGGGACATTTTTCCCAATCATTTTAATGGCAAAATGTGTCTCAATTTACCGAAATACATGAAACAGTGTCATTTTCAAATCTCGCAAAGCAGTATATAGGCAAATTTTAAATGTTTGTTAATGTTTTTTCTCTGTGTTCTTATACTGCTTTGTAAATACATGCATTTGTGACATTCGTGGCTTGAACACGATAATGGTTTAGCATACCAAATTATATAAGAGTGCACCAGTAGATGGCAGTGTAGACCTTTTTTTAAAGGCTGGAAATTTAAACCAAAAATTCAAATTGTATACCAAATGTTTTCCCTTTCATGCTCCCTTCAGTCATTGACCATATCCACATATAGCCAAATATTCATATAGTTCATTAGAGTCAGAGATGCATGAGTGACAGTGCTAGTTGATCTGGTAACTGAGATGTGGGGCCCTAGTCGCAAGATTTGAACACTTGTGATGAACCATCAGATCCTTCACTTGTGCCATCAAAGCAAGCACACCATTGGCTCTTTTTATGAACAGCTGACAGCAAACAGATTATAGTCAGATAACATACACTTATTAATTGTAAAGTATCGTAATATACTGAAGGCTTGAATGAATGTGATCAAATGCACTATGAATTATAATCTTTAATACAATGTTCTGCCATTTTTTTTAAATCGATAAGACTATGACATATAACACACACACACACACACACACACACACACACACACACACACACACACACACACACACAAACAAACACACATATAAACAGAGAGAAGTAAAAAGGAATAAATATATAAAGTAAAAAGGAATATATATATATATATATATATATATATTAGGGCTGCCAAACGATTAATCGCGATTAATCGCATCTAAAATAAAAGTTTGTGTTTACATAATATATGCGGGTGTACACACACATGCCTGTATATTTAAGGAAAAAAAAAAAATATATATATATATATATATATATATATACATACATACATATGTATAGAGAGAGAGATAGAAAGGAAATAATAAATAAATAAATATTTATATAGTTATATATGATCAGTTTTCCCTTTATCTTAATATTTTACAAGTATAGTGTCAGACTAAATCATAAATGCCTGATAAATTGTCAAATGGGGGCGTGACCTGTGCGTCCCTTGCGTGGTGACGTAGGCCAGTAAAGCAATGCGTCTGTGCTGTGGCTGTAGAAGGGGATCCCAGCGGCACGTTGCCGCTATTAGAAGATCAGGCGTTTGCAAGACCAAACAGAAAATTACATTCTCACTTACATTTTTTGTGCTGCAGCATCCACACACAGCTGCAATGCGGTAGATCATGTAGATCAAGTTATTTTTTTTTATTTACTTTGATTTTTATTTTTTACTTTTCGCGATACAAACTCACTCTGGTCCTGCCGCGGTTCATTCATATCTTTTGTGATCAAGTGCGAACTTTGCAAACTCTCTGAAATTATATAACACCGAATAAATCGCGGAAATCACCATGAGGTAAGTAAAATCTAGTTTAATCTCAACCCAAAGGCATATGCGCTGCTCATGTTTGGGGAACAATTTATGCGTGGCTATTTGCGCACTGCCTATAAATAATTCATAAACAAACAGTTTATTAAATAAATGCTGTTTATGATATAGATTGTCCTAGCATTTGTACTGCAATTAATTTTTAGTGGGCTACTGTTAAAAGTAATCATTTCAATTATTACAGCTAAAATGATCAATTAGTGAAATCAATTTGAGCGCCTGTAGCCTATATTGCATAACGTTACTTGATATGGGGTGTGAGGAAAATACGCATATATGTATAAGCATATCTGCATATGAAGTGTCATGTAAATATGCAGTTCAATGCAGCATGGCACTGAACTTGAGAGATCTTGTTTGTTTAGTATACATCATGCTGAGCTTATATGACTCTTCTGTTCATGTTATAAAGTAAATGAGCATAACAATGTGTTAGCACCTTGGCTTCATTTTCGAGGACGATGCTCATTCAGATCAGTAATTTCCCTGCCTTTATTATTAGATTGAAATATTGCTGTTTCCTTTTTTAAATGTAGTGACGTTTGACTCTGATTTAAAATGTATATATATAGTCATACACTGTTTGGTAATAACGATTGACTAAGCTGGATTGGATCCATTACATTACATTGTGATGTAGGCATGTTCCCAGTGTCTGGCGATCTGGTGAGAGCATGTGTTTAAATGTTCAAGCCTTGCTTTGATTATCAGAATAACTAAGTATCTCCTCCCACACTTCCACTGAAGACATATGAAGAAAGAGCCAGCTGTTGGCAGCCTCCCTTCAGCAGAAACAAGCTGCCTTTAAAGCAGAGTTTGAATGATATGACATAACCTTTCCCTTAGGTTTAGATTAATCTCTTCTGTATTTGTATTATTTGGCCTGTCTTCCCACGAACCATGGTGTTACATAGTAAAGCACCTTAGATGTACGTGGGTTGCCTCTTGTGTCAAAACAGGATTGTCTCTCGCTCGAGAGTGATTGAGCGGAGGCGAATGTTCATGTTTGTTAGCCGTAACAGGTGTGGTTTTGTGTGATTTTAAGACCCAGACTGTTCCCTCTTACTCATCACGAGCATGTGTTGGGAAGTGTCAAGCTTTTAACTGTGTGACACGACCGTAGGTTTATAATAATAATAATAATAATAATAATAATTCGTTACATTTATATAGCGCTTTTCTGGACACTCAAAGCGCTTCACATAGAAGGGGGGGATCTCCTCAATGTATAATGTGTATGAGGAATTAACCTTATTGTATTAACAACCTTTTTGTGAATCAAATTCATTAATTTAGGACAAATTTGTTTCTCGTGATCTTAAAAAGTGCATGGGCATGAATTTCTGTACACAGCTAAATTTGTAAATAAACTTATTTAGTTATTTTTTATAAATGATAAATCTTTTTAAATGGTCTAATTAGTTAATGGAAATTATCCAGTGTCCAACATGCAAATGACTCAAAACAATTTTTTTTTAAAACTTTTACATTTTTTCTTAAATGTGGAAAAAGTAGCAATCACTCTGTAAAAAACAATCTTTTCATGATTAGTTATCACAATTTTTTTTTCTTTTGTCAAATCAACTTAAATCATTTATTTAGTTCAGAGAACATATAATTTTGAGTTTCTGATGATTAAATCATTCTCCTTCATTGTATTAACTCACTTTTTCCAGTTCAATGAACTTAAAATTTTAAGGCAACCAGGTTACCTACTTTTTTAAGTTAAACCAACAATATATTTTTACAGTCATGAGTAGTGTCAACTTGTGACTGGTAGTCTATCTATACTTTAGGTTAGTAACTATATTTAATCAACCCCCTGAACGGCTTGTTGCATGATTTCCAAAATTCCAGGAAGGCCAGGTCAGTAACACTGCTGTCTGGTTCATAGATCATGAAAGTGTCTTTCAATATAGAGATAGAGAACTGAATGGACACGAATAAGTCATGTCATTTTTGTGTTTCATTAGTGCATAACTGAACTCTTGAGCACTTCTGCCTTTTTTCCCCAGCAAATTCAAATCAGGCTGCTCTGATCTTTAGGCCTAATCAAGTCTTTTTGAGTTTTGTAGATGGAAAAGTGTCCATATGAATTCATCAGTGTGCTCTCGCTTTATCTTTCTGCCATTAGAAAAGACAAATCCCCTCAGAATATTCATGCCTAATCAGAACAGAATTATACGTGAGCGCAATTGTATTGAAGGAGCCATTTAAACTTTTCCTTTTCTCCTTATGTAATTACTCTCTTTGGTAGAGATACTGTGTCTACCTAATCTGCCCCCCACCCCACCGCACCACCTCCACCCTTCTCTCTCTATTACACCCTGTCACCTATTATATTTTCCATTTCATCTCTCATTTAGATACAGAGCCCTCTGTGAAAGTTCTTTATCTTTGACGTCAGTGGCTCAGACTCATCCTGTTGCACTCCTCTCCTACCACCACATTGTTTCTAGAGGAATTTAGATAAAGCAATCAAGAATGCATTTAATCATAGTGGATTACCACTGATTTGTACTTTGTTTAAAGCAAGTTCATAACGTCATTTAATATCTGTGCTTTGAATGTACCAAAGTAGGTCCTGAATATGTTTGGTTAACATCATTTTGCTATACTGCATGCTTACTTGGTTTCGTTACATTCAGTATTGCACTCTAAACTGCATTCTATTTATTTTTTCTGTAATATTACAGATAGATTTGAACTGTTGATGAATTCCGTTTTCTCTTTGATTATCACAAAATGGAACATGCATTAGTCTTAATTTTTCGTGTTTTTTTAGGTAACATACTACAATAATGTCACATTTGTAATTTTAATAGATGATCTATGATACAATAATTTCCCCCTAACTCTCATTGTTGATAGTCTGTGAGACACTGAAGCATGACTTTTAGCT